TGAACATACAATGAAATATTATTTGGCATTACAAACGAAGGAAGTTCTGACACATGGATCAACCTTGAAGGCACTGTGGTAAGTGAAATAAAACAGTTACAGAAAGACAAATAAATACTGCATGATTCCACTCATGTGAGGTACTTAGGGTAGTCAAATTCACAGACTGGAAGGAGGATGTTGGTTGCCAGGGGCTTGGGGTTGAGGGGTTATGCACTATTGTTTAATGGATACTGAGTATTAATTTGGGAAGGCAGAACCCATTCTGGAGAGGTATAGTGGTGATGGCCGCACACAATGTGAAGTATTTAATGCCACTGAAGTATACACTTAGAAATAGTTTAATGGCATATCTTATGTCATATATATTTTACCACAGTAAAAAAGTAACTTCACAAAAATCTATTTTAAATAAACATATTGCATTTGCTGCCCCATTTAAAGACAACCTGATAATGAAGGATTTATAGTTGCTGAAGGTGAAGGCAGAGCCATTCCCCTATTTCCTTCCGCATGTAGCCTTCTCCTTCACATTTTAAGAGGAAAAATAAAAACTCATCGTTCATTTTGGTACATCTTCCTATTCTTAGAAACTTCAGTCAAAGGGAAGAAGCAGAGAGTAGAAAGGTGATTGCTAGGGGTTAGGGGAGATGAGATGTTCTCACCACACATATACAAATGTAACTGTGTGAGGTGATATATGTGTTTATTAGTTTGATTGTGATAATCATTTCACAAAGCACACATATATCAGAATATCATGTACATATTAAATGTATGCAACTTTTATTTGTCAATTATATCCTTTTAATGCTGTGTGTGGGGCGGAAGAAATTTCAGCCTTTGATGCCAATAGAGGCTGTTTTAAAGAGAAGGAGATTTTCATTTGCCAAGGCAGTCAAATGAATGTGTTTTTTTTTTGTTGTTTGGTTGGTTGTTTTGTTTTGTATTTTGTTTTGTTTTGAAACAGAAAGTCTCACCGTCACCAGGCTGGAATGCAGTGGTGCGATCTCAGCTCACTGCAACCTCTGCCTCCTGGGTTCAAGCAATTCTCCTGCCTCAGCCTCCCGAATAGCTGGGACTACAGGCACGCACCACCACGCCCAGCTAATCTTTATATTTTTAGAAGAGATGGGGTTTTACCATGTTGGCCAGGATGGTCTCAGTCTCTTGACCTCGTGATTCCCCCTTCCTCGGCCTCCCAAAGTGCAGGGATTACAGGCGTAAGACACCAAACCCGGCCTCAGTCAAATGTTTACATAAAATAAGTCACTGGATTTTTGCCCTTAGCATCTAGGTCTCTACTCCGTTCTCACCTGCCAGGAAGGTTCCTGAAAGGGCTCCTTCAGGCAGGGAAGCATAACATTTTAAGGGAGAAGAACATCTAAATGTATTTAGTAATTTTCAAATCACTTTCACCAATTATCGCAACAGTTGAAGGCTGACCTAAAGCATTCTTTTGATTCAAATGCACAAAACTTCCTAGAGAACATGTTAGAAGCTGTACATCCCAGTTACATTTGCTACGGGTTATCAAGCTTCTCAGATGGTAGGTGCTCTTTGAAAATGAAGATGAGATTCCAATAGTTGCTGATTTATGGTGAGACTGTAAGGTAAAAGCCTCAGTCCCTCAGTGGTTACCCTTTGGGGTGAGTAATGACTGGGAGGGGCCACAAGGGGGCTTTGTCAGACATTCATTACACTGTTTCTTGATCTGAGTGCTAGTTAAGTAAGTGTGTTCAGTTTGTGCAAGTTCATTGGCCGTGCATTTGTGATATGTGAAAAAAAAAAATCTGTATGTAGACCATGTAGCTAGATGATACAATTAGAATTAATCTTTCTACGAACAGAAATTGTTTTGCTCACCGCTGTACCCCCACTGCCTAGTGCAGCAAGCCATGCTCTCAGTAAATATTAAGGAATGAATGAATGAATGAATGAAATATCTTTACCAGAAAAGCTTCCTGTGGAGTTCCATTCAATAGCTTCTTTGTACATACACAATATAAATCTGTATATCTATTTATATTCAACCTGTTACACAAGAAAAATTACACCTGCATGAAAGCATTATTTGAAATGATTCTTGAAATTTTGTACAGCCCAGGTGTATACGTTCTCAGGGCCCTCTCACACTTCTGAAGCACTTATACTTAGGGATTATTGCCATCATTGTTGTATTGGTCTCACAGGAAGTATCATGTCCAAAGACGCTTTGATTTCCATTCACTGTCACTGTAGCATTAACAAAAATGATTTGGTGTAAGGGCAATGGCCATCAGTCCAAAGACCTCATCACTACCCAGCATTACAAGTCTGAGCCCTATTGTACTTGTTTTGAAACTCATTAATTAGATACAATGTTGCCTGAGTCCTCTAATAGCTCTAAAATTCCTGGATTATGTGAAATGTTTAGCAACTTTCCTGTAATAAGATAAAAAGAAGGTTGAAATAAGACTATGAGTCAGTAGGATTATGAATGCAAAATAAATCAATTTTTCCAATTGATCAGTTAATTATAATTCTAAAAGCTATTTCAGAAATAGCTGATTTCACTTTGGTTCAAATTCTCCCTTTCTACTAGTTAACATGAAGTATCCTCATAAATGCCCACATAAGCTTCTATATATTTAGGGAATAGAAATGTTTTCCTGGATACTAGGGTCCTATTGAAACTCAACATCTAATTTGAGGAGTAACTCATTCGTTGTCAAAACAGTGTACAAAGAACATTTGGGGCTGGGGAACTTTCCTTTAAAAATAAAAGCTTTATTAAACTTTATGATATGCCAGAAACATCTATGTAATCACAGAGAGCAGGGCCTCGGTTACTAAGAACAGTCCAGTGACTATAATGGATTGGATTGTGGGTTAACAGCTACATACCTAAAAGTTAACAGGAATAAAGGAATATGTAAAGGAGTTACATGTAAATAAAAGGCTATTCCACAATACAATTCTCTGAATTACAATAATGCCTGCTACTGTGAGTTCTGCAGAGCTCAGAATTAAATGAGCTTGTAATGTATCTCCCCGGTTTTGAACACGCAGCGGTTTAGGTTTCCCCTAAATTGATAAGCCACCAAAAGTCCACATTCTCAGTCTTGGATTGTAAAGCACAAGGATAAAAGCAATCCCACTCCCCTGCTTCCTGGCTGTGTGGCTTTGGGAAAGTTACTTGGCTTCTCTAAGCCTTAATTTCCTAATTTTTAAAATGCGGTTGTTGTGAGAATTACATGAGGTGATATAGGTAACATCTGAAGCGCCCAGTAAATCTAAAGCTTTCAAAACCGGTTGGCTATCATGACCATTAAAGTAGAAAGTATCCCTTGCCTAATTCTATTTCAGTACCTCTGCAACTACTGCCATTATTACATTATTTTAGCAGCAGGGCATAGTTAGCATAATGCGGTTCCATAAAGCAGCCCAGCCTCCTAGGTCTGTATTTAGCGGTTACTTTCCAGGACCACCCCAGGGGGAGCTCCTGGTGCAGAACCAATGCCCTTTGCCCCATTACACTTGATTCCATCTCCGCTTGCAAAAGTCTGGGGCAAGGAAGGGCTCAATCTCTTAGACCCGCACTTCTGAGCTTTAAGCATCTGGGACGCCGAGAGGAAAACGTTCCCTTTCAGGACAGTTCTGCGCCGGAGGTAGCCAAGGGCTGGAGCCCCTGGTGCGAAGAAAAGGGCAATAGAGAGGCGGGGTGCGAAAGAAACGCCAACTCTTGGCGCCCTCCCTCGGTGCCCGCGGCGCAGGGGCGGCCCTCCAGCGTACAGGGGACGAAGAGGTGGCTGCGGGCCGGGAGCGGGCCGGAGCGGAGGCGATGGGGGGCGGTGAGGGGAAGGCGTCGGCCTATTCGTCAGCCCCCGAGCTCTGGGAGCCCTCCGGCAGCGCTTGCTGCCCTCAGGACACAGCTCTGGGAGAATGACAACTCCCTGGCTCACCCTACCGCGACACCCCGTCCCCCTCCGCACTCTGGCAGATGCGGGTCGGGAGTGGCTGAGCTGGCCAACCGCCGGGGACCAGGATGCTGCGGCGCCCACCCGCGCAGCGTGGAGGGGCCGGGGGCGGCGCACGGCGCAGATGGCGCTCGCTGCGAGATGGATGCTCCGGGGCGAGTAATCACTCCTGGCTCAACACTGCATCCCGGGCGGAGCGGATGCCAGATCCCACCGCAAAGAGCCTGGATAGAGAAGGCTATCTTTCCAGGCAGCCCGAGCCCAGCGCGCCAGCCCCGACAAGCCCCAGCCCTAGGAGGCAGGGCGGGGCACCGGGACGCCCCGGACCAGCACCTGTAAGGCCGACAAAGCCCCCGCAAGCGCCCCCACCCCTCTGTCCTCCGTATCTCTCCCGTTTCGCCTCGATTCCCCGAGCCCTCTCCAGGCAGCGAGAGTAGAGAAGCGAAGTCGGCCTCGCCCCCTGAACTCGGTGGTCGGCGCAGGTGTAGCCGCTTGCGAACAAAGCCCACGCGCAGATGTGTCCGCGGGGGCCGAAAGAGGCAGACGCCCGTGCGCTCCTGGCCGGGCCCCCGCGCTCCTCGCCCCGCCGGCATGTGGCGTGCCCGGCGCCTCCGTCCGTGTCCATGCCCAGGAAGCCGCCGTGCCGGGCCCTCAGTTTCTCAATGCCCAACTACCCACCAGCAAAAGCTCCGGGCAGGGCTACCCGGAAAGCGTGGGGTGCGGGCGCGGAGCAGAAGTTGGCCACAGACTGGAGGGGGTGGTGGGTGCCGGCGCTGCTGGATTTCAGCTGTGCCCTCACCCGGGCGCGGGTCCCTCTGCTCCCTCTAGGCGCCCGCGGCAGTGTCGGGGGCCTGCAGGGGAGAAGGGAGTTGGAGACCCGCTTCGCCCCTCCCGCAGCGCTGCCAGCCTGGTGAGCGCTCGGCTGGACCCCGCGCCGGCGTCCCAGTAACAACGCAGCAGCCTCGCGCGTCCTCCTCCGCCCCGGCCGTCACCCCCGAGCAGGACCCAGTGTCGCCGCCAGACGCGCTGGAAGCTACTCACGTTCTCGCACCGCGCCCACCGCTCTGCTCTGGCGCGACCGCCCGGGACGCTGGACGAGGAGGTCCTCGGTTCTCGACGAAGCTGTCCCCTCTGGCTGCTCCAGCCAGGCGGCCCCTGCGCTTTCCCCCGCGCCCGCGCGTCTGAGGCTCGGACTGCGGCGCGCGTCCGCCAGCGACCCTGGCAAAGCGAAGCTGGCCCCGCGCCGGCGCGCGCCCCCGCCGCTCCCGCCCTCTCCGCTCTCTCGGCGCCCCTCCCCGCGCGGTGCTCCTGCCCCTCCCGGCTCTCCTTCGCGTCCTCCCGTCCCTCCCCCGCACTCCTCCCGGGCTCCCCCGCTTCTTCCCCTCCTTGCCAACCCCCTCCCGCCCTGCTGCTGAGAAGGCAGTGAATGGGCTCCGGCCGGCGTCCCGAGGGACTGGGTGGCCCCTCACCTGAGCGGCCGCGCCGCCGCCAACCTTCCTCAGCCAGCGAGCGCGTGCGGCGGTGGGGGCGGGGGTGCGGGGACGGAGGCCGGGAGCGTTCCGGGACTAGGGTGGTTGGGATTTAGCTACAAAAGATGTTCCAGAAAATGGGTAGTTTTGAAACGCCACACTCATGGGTTTAGGTTTCTCTGGGAGGTCCATGGTCTTCTAGAATTTTCCTTTTTTAAAAAGCATTTACTTTCTTCGAAATTCATCAGTCGGGGTGATTGAGGTTTTTTTTTGTTTGTTTGTTTTTTATTTTGTTTTGTTTTTGCAACCGTTCTTTCCAAATATCCCCCAGAAAAAGAGCCTTCAGCATAAGGCAGATGCTGTCTATCCGTGGTAGAAATTAGATCTTCGGGTCCCAGCGAATAGGGTTAGTTAGGATTTGCTTATTTCCAGATGTGGTAGTATGACGGAGTTGTTTTTTTGTTTTTTTTTTTTTTTGTTTTTTTTTGTTTTTTTTGGCAATGTAAATCGAGAATTAAGATTTTTTTTTTTTTTTTTTTTTTTTTTTTTTTTTTTTTTGAGACGGAGTTTTGCTCTTGTCACCCAGGCTGGAGTGCAATGGCGCGATCTCGGCTCACCGCAACCTCCGCCTCCTGGGTTCAGGCAATTCTCCTGCCTCAGCCTCCTGAGTAGCTGGGATTACAGGCACGCGCCACCATGCCCAGCTAATTTTTTGTATTTTGAGTAGAGACGGGGTTTCACCATGTTGACCAGGTTGGTCTCGATCTCTCGACCTTGTGATCCACCCGCCTCGGCCTCCCAAAGTGCTGGGATTACAGGCTTGAGCCACCGCGCCCGGCCAGAGAATTAAGATTTTCTAAATGTGTAGTGTTTGAGCAAACCCACTGCATGCTACATTGTTCAGGTTCTGGAGCCCACTCTCCACTCCATCCTGGATGGTGTCCAAAATCCTTAACGTGACCCGTAAAGTCTTCCATAATCGACCCCGGTCTGCACACAAAATTACTTGTCTGCTGGGTATCTTCCGACTTGACCATTTACAGCAGGCTCCAGCTCTTGATGGGCTGAGCGGAGCCTTGCTTCCTTCAGTTCTCTAATTCTGGAAAGCATTTTCTAAGCTCCTCACCACCCCACCCCACTACCTCCTCCACCCCCAGCCTCCAAGGTGTTAGGGCAAGATTCAAGAATGAAAAAGAAACAGGTTCATACTTCAAGGTCCTGACAACCCCCATGCTCTAACTTCAATTTGAACTTGCCCCTCAGCGCACAGCATCCAAATGCAAGTGACCAGCCTTCTTTTCTTTCTCCTTCTACTGCCATCCTCTCTGTCTCCAGCCACATGTGCTCTGGCCTCACAGAGCCTCCCTCAGTTCCTGACCTCTGGCTGCTGGGTCATTGCACACGTTGTTTCCTCAGTCCCTTCAGTGGCTCTGCTGACTCTGGTTCTTCCCCAGCTGCTATTCAGGTGGGTACCTTGCACCTCTCAACTAATTGTCCAGATTTTCCTCTAAAATACCTTCCCCCTAAAAAAAGATTCCATGATCCCCCTACTTGAGAGTCTGGGCTGGTGGGCTGGTTCTCTATTGCCTACAAAGTAAATTCCAGGTCTCCTGGTGTGCCTCGTTACAAACTGCTCCTAACTTCTTTCTCCATTTTCCATAACTCGAAGCCTCTGCATGTGAGATTCCTCCTAGCCAGCATATTCGTCCATCTCTTTTTCATTTGGCAAACTCATTCGTCCTTCAGAGCCTTACTAGGTTGTTACCTCCTTTGTAAATTCTTTTCTGAGTCCCTGTTCTATTATAGTAGTGCTGGTCACCTTTTAATGATCTGTTTACCTATCTGACTCCACAAAATTTTACTTCTTTGGGGACAATTTGTCTTATTTATTTTTGTGTAACCATATTTCTCGTTAATACAAATGAAGCCACAGATAACCATAATCAACTCTCACTACTCCATCATTTTCCCCTGTATAAAGGACTTGGGACCCTCCTTTCCTTCCCCACTGCAGTAATTGTGACAATCCTGGGGTCGTCCTGCCTGTCCTTCCCATGTCCTTCTACCTTCTACTCTGGTTTTCCAAGGTTGCCCTTTCACCCCGGCCACTGTGAAATATTGATTTCTGGTCCACATTATTTCCAGTGAATCCCACAGGGCAAACCTGTGAAGTGGGAAAATGACATCCTACTCTCTTCAGTTCTTGCCTGGGTTCTGGCTCGTAATTTGTCCCTTGGGCACTGAAGCAGCATTGCTTGTGTCTGCCTGTGTTACAGTCTCATAAAGACTCTCTTTAAACAACTCCTTGAACTTGAATGATTCTTTCTCTTCAGGGTCTAGTGGTGGTTCATGAAGCCAGGATGAAGCAGACGATATTTGGTCCTAGTGAAGTCCACGTTAGTCCTGATGCCTGGGAGACTACTTAGGATATTGGGGGTTGCTGAAAGAATAAAGTCATAAATATAATCTCATTTTTTTTCATGCAAGTAATGATTTCTCTAGGTGTAGTTTCCCTTTACAGGTAGAATAACAATATTTAATACATTCAGTTATTGTTAGAAAGCACTGGACGGTATCTAGGACATAATAGGTGCTCAGCAAATTCTAGTTTAAACAGTAATTGTTTGATGAAATGTCTGTCATATAAATACATGCTTGAATAAAAATACAAAGCCAGAAAAGAAAAAGCTCTGGAGAAGATAGGAACCACAGTGATAGTACAAAACAAAAAATAAAACTAAATAACTTGGGGCCAGGCATGGTAGCTCATGCCTGTAATCTCAGCACTTTGGGAGGCTGAGTAGGGCGGATCACCTGAGGTCAGAGGTTGAAACCAGCCTGGCCAACATGGTGAAAACCGTCTCCACTAAAAATATAAAAATTAGCTGGGCATGGTGATGCGTGCCTGTAATCCTAGTTATTGGGGAGGCTGAGGCAGGAGAATCATCACTTGAACCCAGAAGGCAGAAGTTGCAGTGAGCTGGGATCGCACCACTGCACTCCAGCCTGGGATACAGAGTGTGACTCCATCTCAAAAAACAAAAAATGAAAAAATGAAAAAAATAAGTAATTTTGATACTACATAATAATTGCAATAATATAAAATTAGTATATAGTTCTAATTTCCAGCTTATTACTTCAACTGCACTGTAGCCCCCCTGCAGATTGCTGGGGATTCATCTCCTGAGGGAATGAGCAACAGGAAGAACAAACTGAGGCAGCAAGAGGAGCTGAAATGAAGGGAGCATGAGGTGGGGACAGAAAAACGCTTTACGATGAGAAGGATGGCAGCGTGGGCAAATAGACTTTCTCATGCAGTCTGTTTGGTTTGCTTGGCGATGTATGAGGCAGTTTGATTTGGCTGCGCTTGGCTGGTGGTACGCCCAGCTCACCTTCTTACCCTAACTGCTGCTATCCCGTTCCCATACCTAAAGCCTTGTCCTCTCCCTATTACTAAGCCTCATTCCATCTTCAAACTCAGCTGAGGACTGGGAACAAGGTCTGTGCCCTCATCATATGATAATAATAGAATTTTCCATGTGCTCAGTACTGTTGTAAACACTTTTCATTTATTAACTCATTTATTCTGACAAAAATCCCATTCAGTAGGCACGGTTATCATCCCCCATTTAGAAAATCAGGCAAGAAAAGTCAGGTAACTTGCAGAGTCTCACAGCTATCTGCAGAGATGGGATTAAGCTCCACATTAAGACTCCAAAGTTAAGTCTTAACCAGTCATCGTGCCATGCTGCCTATCAATGACAACACACCAAAAGTTTCATTATTTTGATGGACACATCAGAATATCACTGTTAAAACAGCTGCATTAGAAAGTCATGGAGCCCCCCAGTGGTATTTGCAGTGAATACGTTTTAGCTTTTCTCTTTTCGGCTACTTCTGCAGTCTTGTCCCTTTTTCTAAGTTCTCCCTCCTCTCTTTTCCTCTTCCACATTTTTTTCAACACCTTGCCTTATTTTCCATCCATGCTGCAGGGCTCCCAGGGGTGGCAGTACCACTGGTCCTGTCCTAAAACCTGATGCTGAATTTAGCAAAACCCAACATGGACCCAGCAGTGTTAGTAATGAGCCTGCTGCCTTGCTGTAAAGTGAAAGAGTTGGGCTCAGTAAACACAGAAATTCTTTTTCAGTTGTGTCATTTATGATTCTGGTGGTAACCAGGAGTATTTTTTGGCTCCTCTAGTAAAACGCAGATAGATAAAAGCTGGCTGAATTCTACTAAGAATGATTGGAGCACTAAAAAATAACAATAAAATAAAAAATCATACAGTAGTATAACAGGTTTGCTAGAAGATAAGCTTATACAAGTGTAATCATTATCTTAATATAATAGGCCATGGCTGGGCAACATGCATTAAATTTCTGATTGGCATGTGACAAATGCAGTAATTTTTAAAGCCCTTCTATTTGAAAGGGTTTTATACCGAATATTGTCAGAAAGCATAGTTGTTATAATGGGAGACTTTCTAAACTGGTTCCCAGTGACATTCTCCTCTTGGTATTCTTCCTTGTGTGTAATCTCCTCCCGTTGATACTAGACCTAGTGACTCCATTCTAACTGTCAGAATGTGGCAAATGTAGTGGGATGTCACTTCTTATATTGGGTTTCAAATCACTCTGGTTTCTGTCTTGCTGTCTTGCTCTTTTGCTTGCTTGCTTGGAGGGAAGACCGCTGCCGTGTTGGAAAGGAAAGGCTCTCATGGCAAGGAACTGAGGATATCCCGTGGCCAACAGCATGTGAGGAACTGAAGCTCTCAGT